TAGAAAACCGCTGTTGAACATGAGGAAGGAAGATGTCGTTTCTGCATGAAAAAGGAGACTACTTTTTTCAAACAAACTGACCTAACTCGCCTAAATAAACCTTTCTCCTGAGAAGTATATTTTTCGAAAAATTATTTGTGAGAAAAAGTTTGAAAAAAGTTAGGCCTCGCACCTAGTCACCGCCGATCAGGTGCACTGTCAACTGAGCTATCGCTTTGCTCGAAAGTACTCTCTATTAGTGTTTCTAAATGTACTTGAAACTGCTGTTTTGACGTTTTTGGTATATTTAGAGTACGGACACTATGACAAGCACTGACAATCAGACATAACCACAAATAAATTGATAGAAAAAGCGGAAACTGACAGTACACGGACGTACATGACATAAATTTCAAAGGTTTGACAAATTGAGAGAATTGGGAGAAAGATGCAAGTTTGTGCAGTTTCCAACTGTGAGAACACGGGAAATCAATTCACTCTATTCAAATTTCCATCGGATAACGTGGACAGAATATGATGCGGCCGGCATGGAATATAGGTTCAGGCCACAAAATTTGCGAGGTATTCAAATTTCTTGGTAGGATATAGGGATCGACCGATATGATTTTTTGAGACCGATACCGATATAGGCATGGCCGATATTGGCCGATACCGATATATCGGCCAAACATTGCAAGTATTGTTTTTCCCTTGAGACATATATTTGAAATGATGGAAAACCAAAGGGAAAATTCTATGCGTAAATTTTAAATTACTAAAAAAGCCGATATCGAAGAAGAATATAAAATGTATATAAAACTAACAAATATTTCAAAAAATGAAGATCCTTTGATGTGGTGGGAAAAAGAGAAAAATAACTTTCCACTACTGTATAAAGGTGCAATTATATATTTAGCACCACCACCACCCAGTAGTGTAGCGAGCGAACAGCTATTTTCTTCAGCTGGAAATGTATACGAGGGCGCTAGAAATCGACCAACGCCTGAAAGAGCTGAAAATTCAATTTTATTACATTATAATTCACCGATACTCAATTTTAAATATTAATATTTGTTTTGTAAGTATTTTTTTAGAATTACTGTTAACTTTTTAATATTAAAAATGAGTTTCGGTATTTTTTCAGAATTTCATGTTTGTTTTTAAATATTGTGTTCAATATTTGGTTTCTTTCTTAAAAATTATGTTTGTTTTTTAATATTTTTGAGTAAATTAAACAAAATATATTTTTTGGGGGTTTGTTTTTGTGTATATTTTCTTCCAGGTGAAAAGTTACACCATTTTGAAGTCTATTATATTTTATGTTATTATTACTAAGCCGATACCGATATACGCCGATATTGCCTCTTCATATCGGCTGATACCTATATCGGTATCGGTCGATCCCTAGTAGGATATAGAACATTTTACAACGCGTTTTTATCAGTTACACTTGAGAACAGAATATTTGATATTGAAGAATAGGATCGTATTCAGAGAAAGAGCCGAACCCACAATTTATGAACTGAGCGAGTATCGAAAAAAACCTTATTCCAATTTAGAGCCAACAGGAAACGAAAAAATGATAATGAAATTCATTTCGAACATATTTTGAAAGAAAAAGACTTGAGAATCGAATTTTCAGAGCAGGAATATTGAAAAGTACAAGTGAAATATTTCCATACGAAATGCGAAATAAAAGTATGTTTCATTGGTTGAAATTTATCAGTTTTTACCACATTCTGAACTATTGTGATGAAAAAATTTTCAACTGAACGTATATGTATATACCTACATGTAAGAGATTTATTTCATATAGGAATAGTATATGTATTTCGTTCGATTTCGTTGGTATATATTGTACATACCAACTTGATATCGACCTCCATTGAGGTCCTTCAGCCTTATCATTCAATAGTTCGAGAAGAAATAATTTTCTAATTGATTCATCGTACCCTTTTACCCACTCGAGGAGACGCTATGCACTCTCATACAAAAATCAAAGACAGAGAAAGATATATAGATGTACTCATCCCAGGATTTGTGGAGGAAGGAAGATGCAAGGATCCATTATCTAAGTGAAAAACATATTCTTGTCCTTGTCTGGCAAAACATATGATTTGCTTGAAAATCGTTTGTGGTTATGTATGTAAAAAACGTCAAAACAACAGTGTCAAGTACATTTAGGAGCTCTACTCTCTATGAAGAAGGAAGAAATATCGTCGCGGCGGTTGTTTATGTATCAGTATACAACCGCCGCGGCGGTCGTTTATGATCAGTATCCAACCGCCGCGGCGGTCGTTTATGAATCAGTATCCAACCGCCGCGGCGGTCGTGTAGACAGTTTCCATTATAAATGGAAAAAGGAACTAAGATTCGAGTTCGCGTATAGGGAACACGTCAGACACGACAGAAACTCCTCCTATTACAAAGTGCACAAGCATAATTCTTGTCGCTTTTGAGATGCTTTGCAGCTTCTACTTATAAAATGTGTTATTTATTTTCCGCCGGCATTCGAAACGATAAATCATGACCCAACAACTGGAAACAATAAATCAGGAAATCCCCGGATTTCTTTCAGGAAGGAACGAGAAAGAAAGCAACAACGCGAATTTTCCTTCCGTCGAAAAATTCGTTTCCGTATGAAAAATTTATATATTATCAGGACCGTACTTTTGTATGGAAATTATTCATTCGAAATGATAATTTCATCTACTTCAGGATTGAAGATGAAGACATGACTTTTTCTACTTCTATTTCATGAATGTTATATTCCAGTACCTATATGCATGCTTTCGTGATTGAACCGCCCATGTAGATACATAGTATAGTGTGTATTTGTATTTAATATAGTAATCAGTTTCATTGAATATTACAAACGTTCCAAGTGTGAAAAAATCATATTTAAACGCATAACGAGAATGTTCCAATACACTTTTTTCGCAGTGCGCAAATGTAATAAGTGCATTTTTATTGAAATTCACTCGGAAACAATAGTTTGTTGATTTGATTATGTCCAACATGAAAAAAATTGACAATTTTGTTTAATTTCTCGAATCCAGACAAATTAATGATGAAAATTTCATAAAATCAAAGAATTAGCGAGTATAAGTACGCCAAATAGAAACAATTGAAATAATTGAAATCTGTGTTATTGTGTCTTTCACATGGGAAAAGGGGTTACCCCAAATTCTATTTCCATCCCTATGTATTTTCCATGGTGTCATCTGATGGTATATTTCGAGGTATATGTGCATCTTTTTGTATCTAGTTTATTATATGGTGGAAGTCCATAATATCAAGATTCAGACACAAGACACACTAAGTCTTCTCTCCACTAGTTTATATCAGAAGATCTGATGATGTTTACAAGATCTATAATCTGAAGATGTTTTTAACTTCCACAAATTTCTTAAACCTTAGTCTGCTGATGATGGGTACACGATAGTCCGAAACATGTTCAGATAATTCTGATAATGAACTTGTGGAGATGAGTTAGTCAACTTAGGGTGTCTTGTGTCTGAATCTATTTCGACTTTGATTAACAACTAATAACTGGTGTTGAATAAACATTATTTATATAATGGTTATAGTTCAATATTTACTATTTAGTTTTCACTTTTATTTGTATATTTAACCCTCGATTTCAACTTAGATACGGTTATTATGAATACATACGCCCTTGGGCGTTGAATGAATAGTTCGTAATTTCTGTCATACGAATAAGGGTCTGGATCTCCAGCACTAAATTTTTTATTGTTTTGGCTGCATTTCCGTCGATATTTATTGGTATATCGGTATTTATTTCCTTCTATAAGACGTTTATAACACAAAGCAGCAATAACATTCACCTAATATTATAATGAAACACTGACAGCAATATCCAATAAACGTCAAAATCAAATGCCTACTATGGGAAGATGAGTAGAACGCACGTGCTAGGAGCAATGAACTGATTTGAAATAGTATATTTCATTACGAGTCTGGAAATAAGGATTTTTCCGTCCGCTTTTGACATTAAATTCTGAGGCGAAGCCGAACACGGGAAGTCATGCAAGAACGGAAAAATCATTTATGGACGTGTAATCAACGATATTTTTTATCGCACTTCGTTGACAATGAAAATATAATAATAAATTTGCCATAAAAAAGACACAAGAGAAACTTGGAACATTTATATTTCCACAGTTGTAGGTATTGGAAAAACTTGGAACTACTAGACCTGGATTTTACTGGTAATAAATTCGCGGTCGCTTGTGCCGCTTGCTCTAGGATATTTTATCGGAAATTCCGGAATTCTCTTCTGAGTTCATTTTGTCGGCATGATTTGATTGACAGAGAATAAACAATGCTGGCAATACATTGTTTGGCATGTAATGATTCGTTTCCATGGTTATTCTCAAAGTTTTCCGTGCGGTGCTTCCGCGTGCACTAACCCGAAAAAGCTCTTTTTACAACATTGCTAACATAAATGAAAATAAGATGATTTCGAAGAAGTACAATGAAAATCTATTGTTCATTAAAATTTGAAAAATCTTTCATGAAAAATAAAAACGTGTTGTTTGCACCACAAGTGTTAGTTGATCATAAAACCAACATCTGGGAACATTCATCCGTCGGGCTGAATTTTACCCTTCGTCGGGCGTCACTTAACACACTTGGTGCATAAATAGCTGTTACATAAAAGAAACCTCACATCGCATATATACGTTAACGAATATACTTTTTTGATTTTGTTTATTTTTTCCATAATGCCCCTTTCTATACCATTTCCCCAGGAAACTGGACAAAATCCGAAAATATACCAAAATGAGGTTTTCAAACTGACTATCTTGAAATCTCATACTTCTTGCTCGAGTTCTTGCCCATTGATCATATCGATTGAGTCATGCGACTATAAGAATATTGTATAAACCTCGGATAAAACTTTTCATGTTGGGTGTAATGCACCTAGTATTATGATGATACAACTCGATCCATTCTTTTTGTAAACAGTGTATAAAAGAGTAATACGATTTACTTGACTATTTGCCGTGTATTGATGGAAGTACACGTGCCTTTGTTCCATTGTAATTATTGTCCTGATTACGGTCCTGCGTGGCCATTGTAGAACCCAATTGAAATTTGTTCTCATTTCGCTGGAGTCCTTTGAGAATAGAAAGAAATAATCATTAATTTTCAGTTTACGCCTTTTATCTCCTTTTGGCTCGTTTGTACAGTGAATCGAAAAACACTCTGGCGCTGAATTGTTTCCATTTTTATTGGAAGAAAAGTGAGAAAAAGTTTTACACGAATGGGAAAATGGGAAATAGACGAAACGAGTGAGGTTGTGAAAAAGTTGGGAATTACTTTTTATTCGGCCGCTTTTCCTTTTCGTCAAACGAATACAATAATATCTTTTTTCGAGTCTTTTTTTGTTGTCTCTCTGTGTAATTGTTTTTCCGGTTACTTATAATGGAGTTTTTTTTTTTGTTTCAGTGTGATAGCGAGGGTGAAGACGATAAGGTGAGTTTTCATAGCAGCTAGAGCTAGACGATTTTGTTGGTCCAGATGGAAATTTTAACAATCTCATGTTATGATTGAACAAGCAATAATATTTCAGAAGGCATATAATTATCATTAGACGTGACGTCGCTTCAACTTTTGATGTTTCCAAATTGCAAGTTTTAATTTTTCAGCCGTATACTTCCAAATGTCTTCGAAATCAATAATATTTTGGCGTTTCAGTGGGGAAGAACTGAACACCTTTTTGAATATTTGCGAGGATCTTTTTGGCAGTGCCGAAAGCTGTATGGTAGCGGTTGATATGATGTATATTTACAAAATGAATAATAGTGAATTCGTAGTCGAGGCGTCTCTGGTCAGTTAAGCTGTCGCGAACCGAGTAACCACTTCGAGTGTCGAGAAAAGACTGTCGTTCTTGAGGGTTGTTTTGAGAACGTGAGATCGGTTCGAAAACCCTAGCACGTTTCTCAGAAAAAGAGAAAACCTGGTAGTGTAACTCAAATTGAAATGAAATAATTAAGAAAATCCGAATCATTTGTTTGGTACCCTCCAGATGGAATTTTATTGGGGTACGCTAAGCCTGAGAACACGATCATAAAACTGTTTCGACAAACAATATTTGAGTTTTGGGAAAGTCCACATCTGTTTTGTAATTTGTAAGCTTAGAGATCGCCTCGACTCAAAATTCGATGAAGATATATACAGGGTGTACCATTTACATGATAATAATGGATAATATTTACAATTGATATCAATAGTTATTTACAAAGTGAAATCTAAATATTATATACATATGACACAGAAATATACAGTGGAAATATGATTTCCCACAATATCATTGAATATTTTCTATCTACAGAGAGAGCGTTTGCTTGAGACATATTGATATGATACACGGAAAAAAATGATAATTTGGTATTAAATTCCGATATTTTAATCAGGAAGCTGGATACCAGCAACAGTTGTTGTTGTTCCTCATTCCTAAAATGGTGCACAGTATCAAATTTTACCAAGACTACCTATTTGGTGTGAAATTGAATGATGATCAAAATTATACTCGGTACAAATCGTGGTAGGTAACTAGCGTCCTCTATGAGAGTCAGATATAAAAACAAATTCATTCTTAAGTCCACTACAATTTTGACAGTAGTTACGACATAATCGTAATAAGTGAGTTTAAAAATTGTTTTTTCAACACATCGCACTTATCTCGAAAACGGATCGCATATCGGATCAAATAGGTAAAGTAGGTACCTACAGTGTGTTACAATTTGGTTTACACTGTACCATGTAATTTCATGTTCCTAGGGCGATTTGGGAATATTCTTTTCTCATAATATATTACTCAAAATTATCTACTTTTTCGAGCAAGAAAAAATTATCAATCACAATTTCTTAGCTTATACGACGATCACAAAACTCCAGCAAATTTGAAGAAAATGGATTAGTCATTTTTGTAAAAAAAAATTCGAGGTAGACAATCGATTCGGACTAGTCACAAATTCTCCTATTTCAATATTCAAAACAATATCTCATAGGGGGTGTTTTTTATCAACATTTCAACTATTGAAAAATGCACTAAGTCACCGTGTATAATAATTCTTAGAATTTGAATGATATCAGGCATGATGGTAGTCAGGATCATATCTTCTGGCTACAGAGTGAGATAAATAACCAATAAAATCACTAAAAACTTAGATTATTTTATCAAGAAATAAATAGAAACTATAAATATCTATAAAAAATAACAATAACAAGAACAAATAACTATCGATATATTGTGTATTGTGGTTTGTGTTCGATTACTTTTCACAGAGATCAATATCTACTAATCGGTGAGTGAATTTTTATGGAACAAATATGTAAATGGTTATTTATTAGACAAGGGAAAAAAGTAGTAGATTTTAGCTCCAGGTTGTGGAGCTGAAAATATTCTTCCCGTGTAAAATAACTATTTTTTCCGTGAGAGAAAAAAGAACGAATCAATATTGAGAAGATATTGCATCATATTGAAATCAGAAAATTATTGACGTGAAATTTGATGTTTTTAACAGGAATGACATCTGCGTTGCAGGCATCCTCATCATTCTTTTGAAGTAATCAAATATCTGTCAGTCTAATTCTGTGATTTGATTTCAAAAATTGCAAATTTAGTGGTTGTTTAGTAATTTACGTAACCGCGAAGTGGAATGGAATGCATTGGATTGCAGTTCTTTCTCGGAGGCGGTGTTATTGGCTTATTTTTCGGAACTTTAACACAACAGCCATCAACAGTGAGCAATAGGGTAGTATTGAAATAAGTGCAAATATTTCAAACACTGAGAAAGATCGATGTGTACTATCGAATGGTACTTATAAAAAATTTAGGAATCACAATAAAATTTGAGATTAGACCCCTTTTTCCACCCAAAGTTCCAAACTGTAGCACATCTGACGTCACTTCTGTTCAAATTTCCATGCGGTAGGAACAATCACGCCGTGTTCAATCATTTAAATTGTTTCAAAGTGATGTACTTGATTTTTTTCTCGTATTTTGTTGAATTTTTATGATGGAATTTCTCGTTAATTAGAAGAATTAGAAAAAAAAAATGAAATCATAGGAATATTCCCTAGACTGTATCCTATTAATGTGTTGAATATGTGCACTTATTTCAAAAAGTGACATTTTGCAACCTGTCAACAGAGATGAAATGTCATAGTTTTTTCCCGACACAGAAAAAACAGAGTATTCTTAATTTCAATTGGTATTTGAACACTGGATGTGAGAATTTATCTCAAGTATTTGTTAAACGGAAACTCTAGAGTCTAGATTAATGAAGTCACATGTTTTTGCGAATTACATTTTCCGAATAATTGTTGTTGTTTTCGCACCGAAGCTGATGTCAAAATCAAACATCTAACGCTGACAAACAAAAACAATAAATTTTTTCAATAATCAATGTACAAACGTAAGGATAATGATAATCAAGTGGCTTGTAACTATTTTGTTATTGAATTTTGGTTTTAAAAAATTTAAACATAAATATAAAGTTGAGGGGGGGGGGTTTAAAATATGAAGACCCCCTATACCTAGTCTGTGATAACTTCAAAATCTTCAGTTTATTTGATTGTTGAAAACGTCAAATTGCATAGCCTTCTCATCTAATCGTACATCAACCATGCATGATGTAAACAACATCATAATAACGTCACCCGCGTGCACCGTGCACCATCAACCATCAACGATCAACCGCAAAGTTGGCCGCCAAAGTATACATACAGTCACATCGGAAACGAGATTGTGGAATCACGATGCGAGCGGGCAAAAGGGGAAATAACCGAGTAAATGTGACAGATGCTTTATGTGAACTGTCATCGGCGGGCGTGTGTAAATACGTGTAATATAAAGCTCGCGCTTTCCGCTTCATCCCGTTATCCGAGCGCCGATCATTTTCGAGCTAGAGATAGCGGGTGTACTATATTATGTGATGTCATGGTGATGTGCAATTGTATATACCCTTTCTGCGCTCATTATCCTCCAGACGTGTTGAAGTGGTTAAGTGCTACGGATCCTATCGAGATGTCTACAGTGTGTCCAGTTTTCGATGCTTCTGCGGGTAATTTCGCACTTATCATGCGATGGATTTTTTTTTGTGAAATTCATTTTGTCACCTACCACCTACGTATTTTTGTCTGAAAAACATGAATTCAATAATGAAAATGTGAACAAACCACTATTCATCGAGATATTTCAAGAACAAGTTCGAAATTTCGCTTTCTTTTTCCCCCTATCTTGGATGAATTTACAGCTACCTGCTCTTCTTATTTTGTCATTAGACTCTTTATACAACTTATGATGTACTTCAATGACACATTTTTTTAAAGAAAGTTCAATACGAAATATGGTTTTTATGGCGATTTTCTCATATTTAGTGAAAAAGCATAAAATATCTGATATCTCAGTTATCATTGGAGATAGAACCTTGCCGTTGTCGGGATCCTTTGCCACATTTTTGTAAAATTCAAGATGACCTATAGATGGCCTAATCAGATTTTGCTTATCTGTTTCCGTTTCTGAGGTACAGGGCGATTTTGAAAATTTATACTTTTTGAACTTCCCCTATATCTACGAAGTTTCTCAGAGAAAACGCAGAATCCAGTGGCGCACTCATTTTTGTTTCGTAGATATGACTTAAACTGCCCATAGCTTAAGAGGCCATATGCCACTCGAAATTATTCGAATGTTATCAGTTTTCTGTCTTATCCCTTCCCCGTCGAAAGGGGCGGGATCAACCTGAAGAATTCGTAGAAAGCTGGACTCGGTATGTTCATCGAGCGGCACGTCGAGGACACCGAACATAAAGTAGCGCGACACCGTCTTGATTACTTTTTGCCGCTCACTGACAACCGGTTGATTATTCATCGGAGACAGTCAAATGGTCTCATAATTACTAATATTTTGAACTTTTGTCAGTACCTATTCGATTTTTGGCGCTGGTGATTAGATATTTTGTACATTTTTGATAATTGACCAATAGGTATAGGTATGATGATTATGTTATCTACAGGATATTTTCGAAATTAGAGCGATACATACCAAATATGGAATGTTATTTTTTTTTCGCTGGGAGCGCACGGAAGGGAATCCTTATCTATGAAGGATAGGGAGAGGAGGTAGGTATTGGATTTTTTTTATAACTTTTGGAGAACATGCCTAAGTACTTGGAAACATACTGAAGAAGCTAACAAAGCTACTTTCGATGTGCAACATGAAACACATCTCATAATTTTAGGCTCATTTTAGGCTAATGTATTACCCCATTCCCGAATTTTCTGCTCCTGTCTATCATAGAAAAGTCTGTGGCTTTGCTAGCTTCGGCCGAACTCAGCAAAGCCTGAAAAGGAATATTCTCAGATAAATTATGAACATACACAAATGGATATATATTTATAGAAAGCAATACATTGAGAATTCGCATTCTCTATGTGATGAGAATATCTATTCATTTTCAGTTTATTCA